GTTTCTAGGGCGCAGGTTGCACTGGAGGCCTCTCTTGGAAACACCCAGTTTCAGGGCATGGCCTTCATTTTGCTGAGTTCCCACATTCCCTGTGATTCTGAGTGCTCTTAACTGTGTGTCCTTGCCAAAACCCCAACTAAGGTGTCAGTCTAGCCCACCTGGCAGGATGGCACATAGATGCAAAAGAAACAGGATTCTGCAGTTAAGGAGCTCCAGTGTTTTCTCTCAAACAAAATCCCCCTCTCCAGAAGCTCACGGCTTTTCCTGAGATCACTCAGGGAGGCATGCAGGGCTGGCAGGCTGCACTGGGGGAAGAAACTTAGGAGCTATGTGCACGGAGCATATGCAGTGCTGCTAGAAGGGCAGAATTCTTTCTGTGTCCTGTGTCCTCCGCGGAGGGCTGACCCCATGAAGCTCACAGGCTGCTGCTCAAGCCTCGCTCGGAGCACACTGCAGAGGCTGCTGTCACGAGACCACCAGCGCCTGGACTGGACTGATAACACTGCTTTTTTTTGTACCAAGGATTGACCTCAGGACCTTGCACTTTCCACACAGGTGCTTATGCTGCTAAGCCTTGGTTACATTCTTTTACCAGTTAAGGGACATTTGTCTCAGTGTGGCAGCTCTACCTGTCTCAGTGAAGAGGAAGAAGGAGGGGTCAGGGCTGGGGCTGCCTTTCTCTGGAGACAGCAGCATGGCCGTCACCCACCTCTCATCTAACAACAGACCCTGACGTGACCCAGGGAAGACAGCATTTAGGGATTTTTCAGCAGAGCTGGTGACTGAGCTCTCACAAGGCGATTTTGCTTGGCACTGAGCTGCTCGCCTGGCCCTGAGGGAACCCACCACTGTTTGTGCAACAGAGTTTCACTCTACACCTCAGTCCCACAGGGAAAGCACGGTTCAGCCAACGTGTTTCCATTCTTCTTTCTGGGCCTTCGTGCTCAGCCAATGATCCCACTTCTCCCCACAGCAGGGAATGTCCCTAGGAACCACGGCCAACGTCCTCGTGGGTCCTGCTGACACTAGGGCCCTTCCTTCCTCTCCTCCTGTGCTGTGTCCTTAGCTACTCCCCGCCCGTCTTTCCACTTGGCACACACAGACCAACCCTTCCTCCCTTCACAGGAACACGTCATCCATTGAACCCTGAACGCCTGTCCTCCTGTCTCCACCCACCAGCTCTGGCCAAGGACCCAGACATTGCCCCCTCCCAGGTCTGATTTCCAACCCTCGCTGACCTGGACAGCTCAACACAGCAACCCCTCTGTCTTGGGTCAGGCTTAGCTGTCGGCTTCCTCGAGGTGGCCTCCTGGTTCTGCCCTGGCAGAGTAGCTGTCCCTCCCTGGCCCCCTTTGCTCAGCATCCTTTAGGGGACCATGTACCTTCAAATCTATTTCTGGGGTAAAGACAATTTTAAATCGAAAAGAAATCTTTTATTTATTTCTAATGCTACTCCAGGGTGTGGCTGGGAAGGGGAGTCAGTTCTTAATTAGAAAATTACAAAGTCCAGCACCCTTATGCCAGCCAGGGCTTCCGAGGTGAGCGCCACTTAGCCAGACAGTGCATCTTACTATGCTTTGTTTGCTTTTACGTTTTCACCTCAAGGACAGCTCGGTTCAGTCTTAGACAGTGATAGATTCTTCCTCCTCCCCACAACACCGTCCTCATTATATGATGGTGACCCCAATTAGCTTGTGTAATGTCGTCTGCCTAACAATATATGAATGACATGTGACCAACTATAGAAAGTCCTGCTATCAGCCCTTTTCATATTTCCTGCTAGTCTTTTGCACTTTCTGCCTAAAACATATATAAATATTTGTTCTCCCCAAGACAGGGTTGATGGCCTGGGGCTGAGAGTCCCATCAGCCCACTGGTGTAATGAAGCTATGCACCTTCCCAGGTTCCTCGGGATCGTTATCTTCGGTATGTCTGGTCCTGAACCCGTGACACCTGCAGTCCTGCTCTCACCCCAGGCCCTGGCCACAGGATTGAGTGAGGGTCACATCCAGGTCCTCTCAGCATCAGTGCTTAGTCTATGTCTAACCTTGGGCCCCAGACTGGTGCAGCCTGCTACCTTGTCCTGGGGTGCCTCCTACACCCCTCAAACTTAATAGCTTCCAGCTGTGCCTCGTACACCCCAGGTCAAGTCCTCACGCAACCCTGCATGGGCCCACACTACAGCCCTCAAGCAGAGCCAGCGCTAAAGTCCTCCGGCTGTGGGCTTCCAGTCACTCATGACCTCTCTGGGCTGAGCTGCCTCCCTGCACCCCGAAACCTCAGTCACCAGCACGCCCAGTACCCAGCTCCAAATTACTTCTGGTCATGCCCTGTCTTGGCCTATTCCAAGCTATTAATACCGAAAGCACACTGGATCACTGATAAGCAGCACAAGTTGATTTCGCTCACAGTTCTGGAGGGCGGGAAGCCTGTGATTGAGGGCAGGACTCTTGACGGCCTCCTAGTTACAGCAAGGTAGGTGATGGAGCTGGGCATGGGAACACACAACTGGAAACGCAGCACTACAGAGGCTGAGGCAAAGCTGGAGGAGGAGTCCCAAGTCTGACCCCAACCTGGGAAAATTAGTGAGACCCTGTTTCAAAATAAATGGCCAAGGGATGTGGCTCAGTGCAGAGCCCTGGGTTCAATCCCTAATACCATCAGAAAAAAGGGGTGGGGCAAAGCCTCGACTGAGACAGAGCCAGAGGCTGATCCTGCAGCCTCCGGCCTCTGAAAACCATCATTAATCCACTCAGGACGGCAGGGGACCCTCCAATAGGCCCGCTTGTGGGAAGCACATTCAGGCCAGAGAAGCGGTACCATGGCTGAGATTGGGTGTTTACTTGTCTGTTTGTTTAAAATCTACACCTCTCACCCCCACATCACACGTGCTTCCTTTTGTTTACATCTTCTGACCCAGCGTTCACCAGGTAAAAGGTGCTAAATAACCCAATCTAATAGTCTGTATTTCATTTGGAAGAAAGGTTGGAACTTGGAAAAACTGCTTCTGTATCCTCTAAGAAAAAGGTATAATAAGTAATACTACCACTGGACATGGTGACACATACCTGTAATCCCAGCACTCTGGGAGGCTGAGGCAGGAAAATCACATGTTTGAGCCCAGCCTGGGCAATTTAGTGACTTAGCAAGATCCTGCCTCAAAGTCAAAAATAAAAGACGCCTGGGGAAGTGGAGGCCCAGAGCGAAGGCCCAGGGTTGAATCCCTAGTACCATGAAACAAACACACAAAGTGAGTCCTAAAGGTGGAGCTGGATCCCCAGCTGCTGTCTCAGTGAATGATGGATGGGGAAGTCAGGGCCCGAGCGCGTGGCTCTGCAGGCTCAGGCTGTGTCCTGGCAGCGGGCAGGGTTCTGGACCCCAAGCCTGCTGGACCCCTCCCTCAGCCCCTGCTCCCCCTACTGCCCCAGTCACACAGCCAGGAGGTAAACAGTTTCGTCAAGGAGCCCCACGGCTCAGGACCTGGTTACCAGAGCCATGGTAAGCAAGAGACAGTTACCCACAAGGGGCGGAACTACACTGCAAGACTCAGGCATCCGCAGTGACCGCCAGTCTCAGGCTGAAAACGTCTGCAAACAGACGTGAGCGTGTACTGCACCGACACATACTGCTTCTCCTCATTTTGTTCAGCGATATTATGTGATCATTTGCATAGTATTAGGTGTTCTAAGTAATCCAGGGCTAATTTAACATACATGAATGGATGTGTGGGTTTTATGCAAATTTCACCAAGTCATGCGAGGCGCTTGAGCACCCAGATTTTGGTATCCACTGGGGACAACCTGGATCCAACGCCCACAGATACTGAGGAGTCCCTTTTAATAACTCTTTTATTTTTCCCTGGTTATAAAAACAATGTTTAGTTTTAAATTAAGATTGTAAACACAAGAGTGAAAATACCCCTCTGTTCCATCACTAAAAGACGGCTCTGCTGAGGGGCCTTGAGGGGTCTTCCAGAGCTCATACAGATGAACAAAAACTTTCTCTTCTCTGTTAATCCAAACATAGGACCACAAGGCAGCCTGGACTGTGGGAAGGTCAGTGGTGCATCACCTGTCGGGACTGCGATCCCACCGCGATTGCTACTCACCCTCAAACCCTCAGGCCCAGCACCACAGCCCGTGTGGCTGAGCTTTCCTGAGGGAAAACAGGGATTCTGAGAAACGGGAGAATCTGGGGCCAGCTTCACCTTGAGCCAGTTGTGGAATTTTCCACAGTCCACTTTATCTGCCCTTTCTGTGCCCTCCTCTGTTATTTTTTCTTTAAATGAGAAATATTGTGATTTCACTTCTTTTCCAGAAGCTAATGTTACCTGTTCTGGAAAGGCTGCCAGATCCTCCCACCAATTAAAAAATAATTGGATCCATTACTTACTGGACCAGATAATGTGTGCCAGGCAGATTTCAGTTTGGAGCATTCATCTGGAAGCTGGTTTATTATCTCTGAGAAACATAAGCTTGCAAATTTCTTTCCAGAGCCAATAGGCGGCCCTGTTTGTGTGTCCAGCTCTGAAAGATATGATTTCTCCCCCAGAGGGAGTTTGGCTGGGGCCCTGAAAGTAAATATTCTGCTCTCTGGCTTCTCTCCTGGGTTTCAGTGACAATCAGAGATCTGGGCTTGGGGAACACATTGCTTCCGAGGGAGGAATTGAGGTCCCTCAGCTTCCCAGGTATGAGGGAAGGAGGCTCAAGACCTTTGTTCTGAAATCTTACATCGAGGCTGTGTGAGGTGTAAAATCTCTGCCCCTTTAAAGAAGTGACCTGCAAGTTCTGAGCTGGGAGAAACAGGAATGGAATCCCAGGGCTGCAGAGAAGAGCCGTGGTGCTCTTCTCCGAAGCCCAAGTCTCTATGCCCACAGGCGGAGAGGAGTTATTAGGGCCGCTCATACTGGCTGCGGAGAGAGAAATGTTCAGGGTGACACAGGAGTTCAGCTGGACCAAGCTGGAGGACAGGTCACCGTGATAAAACTGCAAATTACTGACCTGAATTCAAGTCTCGTCCAGGGTTGAAGGCTCGGCTATTAACAGTAGTAGAAAGTCGATCACAACTAATTGTTCTAGACACATTGGTATTAAAGTTCCCATCGAATCTGAAACAACAGAAGAGGATGAGCAAAGATTATTTGCTGGTTATCTAACCTAGAAAAGCTACAACAGAAATATGGCACATACTGGGTGAGAAACAGCGGCCTAAACACCATAGACGAGGGACTTTGTGCTGAGGCTGCAACATGGGAGGAAAGCGAACTGCATCTACAACATTTAGAAATTAAGTTCAAGGTGGAAAATTTAAGAACAGCTGTCTATAAGGCAGATGGCCCTCTATACTTCCAACTCCTGAAGCACTGGGACAGGAATGCAGGTTCCTGGTCAGCCTGGGGAATTTATGAGATCCTGCCTAAAACAGAAAGTGAAAAAGATGAGGGTGCGCTCAGTGGCAGAGCACCCCTGAGATCGACACCAGTACTGCAAAGCAGAACAGAACACTGCAGCCGGGCGTGGGGGCACACACCGGTGATCCTTGCACTTGGGGGGTGAAGCAGGCAGACTGCGTGAATTCAAGGCCAGCAGACAGACCTTGTCTCAAACCTAGCTCCCCCTGAAAAGTGACTTTCAAATTATCCCTTGATGAATTTGTTGGTACTGTTGAAAAATCACTGACAAAAAAAAAAAAAAAAAAGCAGTACCATACTTTATTTCCCACTCAGTTGAGTCCGCTACGTAACCTACCAGGGTGTCAGGTGCTGAGAAGACCCAGAAAGTAGATGAAGATTAAAAAAATCAGTGTGACACCCTGTTTGCAGAGTTTGTGATAAAGTGCTTATCTCAGGTGTCTGTAATGAACTTCTGCTAACTTGGGGCCAAGGAGCAGATCCCGAGGCCGAGGTGAGGTCCGCTCCCGCAATGCTGGCACCTTTCATGCCTCTCCTGATCACCTCTCTGAGGAGGTGAGAAGGGGAGACTGAGCCGATCATGTATGCGCAGGTCTGTGTCAGTTCCAGCAGAGGAGTTCAGCGTTCTGCTCAGGTGGGAGCAGTCCAGTAGAATCACATCAGTGATGCCACCTGGTGCTATGAGACAGCCGCCCACCCATGTCACTGCCCTTCCTGGACCCAGCCCAAGGTATCCAGACAAGGATATTACTGTGGAGACCCACGGGTGGGCATGGAGGAGGGACTGTCGCCCCACCCTTGTGCCACATCTGGTCTCTCAGGAGCTTGACTAAGAGGCCAGTGACACCTATTTTAGGTTTTGTGGCTGGGAGGTCCGGTGACCTGGGAGAGTGGCCAGAGAAAACTTGAAAGGCCCTGTGTGACGAGCCAGGCACTGTCTGGCCCAGCTTGAGGACCACCCTGAGAGGACGAGCATGGGTGATTTCCAGTGTCCAGTGAAGCAGCGCAGTGGGGCTACTGGGCATTTGAGAAGAGGCAGCATGACTGTGACACTGATCCTCCTGTCTACTGACAGCTCTGTGTGCAGTGTCAGTGAACAGCCAGGCAGGGCAGTTCTGGAGCGGGCATCTCTGCTCACCAGAGGCTTCATCTGCTCGGCCATGCGGCATCAGCTCACACGTGGAGCTCTGGTTGTGTGCTTCATGTGGGCACTTGCGTGTCTTTCAGTCCCATCGAACAGTCACTGTGTGGCCTTGGTCGCCCCACTGCACACACCAGGTGTAGCACTGCACTTGCCCAAAGTCAGTGCTATACTGATCTGTCTTTCCGCAAATGCCCATGCTGCCCGGCCAGGTCCTAGCCAGAGGTGAGGACTGTGACTCAGCTGGACAGTGACTCGGAGCTGGGATTCCAGCCACACCAGGCAGCACCATGCTGGAATGGGGCTTCCTGGGGTCCACTCCAAGAGTCTGATGTAAAATGTGAGTGTGGGGGAAGGAACAGAAAGTGGGCTTTGCCAGGCCCGGAAGAATGAGACAGGGTCCCGTCCTGCCATGCAGCTTCCCTTGGTGGCAAAACCACAGGACAGCTCTGCGCTGAGCTCAGGTCCAGGGGCTCTTGGATCTGAACCCTGAGACTGCAGCAACTGGGGTTCTCTGCAGCCCACAACTAGCTGTGCATCTAGGGATTCCCTCCTGTACCCATTTCAAGGCATGGAAAATCGAGGGTGAGCCTCACACAGCAAGTCAGAGCCCCAAGAGATGCAAACCCGCCACCATTCCTTGCTTCCTAGAGTGTCTGCCTGGAGCTACCAGAGCAGCTCAGGAGGTCCTGAGCAGCAGATAGCCAGGAGTGCCCGGAGAGGCACCTGCCAGGAGAGTACCTCGGCCAGCGGCCACCGTCCAGCGCCTTAGTCCTCCACAGGGTGCTGGGCTTCTGGCAAATGTAGTTGGCCTGAGGGCTGGTGCTTCGTGGGGACATGGAATGTGCCTCGACTTCCAGCTGGCTAACATAATGACAGCAGCCCTGGGCCTTTCTGCCTCATGGAGCAGTGGCTTCACCTCCCAAGGGTCTGGATCCTGCACCCCAGCATGGAGCCTGCACCCTGTGCAAGGAAGCAGGGATCCCCAGGGCCCACACACAGGAGGACAGGTGGCTGTTGTGCGGGCTGTGAGACACAAAGGTGAAGGCCACCATCTTTCAGCTCTTCTCTGTGACCACCAGGGCTCTGAGCTCTCTTTAGAGGGCTGTACCTGTCTTCGGACAGGACTGTAGCACATCAAGGTCGGCTGTCAAAGTCAGCCACCCTCCTGTGACTGCCATTCCAGGCCCTGCCAAAGGCATGACGGTACTATGCACAGCTGTGCCTTTGAAAAAGCCATTTACAGAGAGCAGTGTGACAGCCACCCAGGCTTGGGGACACAAGGAAATCATACAAAAACAGTCAATTACGCTCTGGGTGCTGCAGTGAGAGACAAATTTGCTGCTGGTGAATTTCCATAATTTCAGTCTGTGAGAAGGTGGAGCCCTACCATACTCCTACACTGCTTACAAAACCAGGGGCAATAATTCACTTCAAGATGATCGGCTTGCTTTACACTTATGCTTTAAAAAGTTAGTCAAGATAACGGAAAAAACCCCATCAAAATCTCCTTTAGACCTTGTCTATTAAAAACTGGAGACACTGGATTAAAACTGCCTTCTACTTTCCCAAGATAAAACCAGTGTCTAAAGAGGAGTAACTCCTGCTCTACCACCCCCTTAGGGTGGGGGGGACCTTCCTTCTGGGTTTGCTTTCATGAACAACTGATGGAAACAGCGTCCCGAGGGGGGACACAGCAGCGACGCCCACTTTGATCTCTGCCCGGGGAGCCGTGTGCGCCCCGCCTGCCTCCCGAGACGGACGTGATTGACGTGCGCTCTGATGTGTGAGTGGCTTTGAACTTCAGACATCCAATTCCCATCAGACTGCAGTCATTTTTATTCTCCTTCAACAGGATTTACAAGCGGGAGATCAGCAAATGGAGAAGATAAAATAAATTTGCAGAAGCTTTGAATCTGACATCAAAACGGTGTTCAAGTGAGTTCCAATTGGATTTCATTCAGTCTCGATTCATAAATCAGCCGTTTGGTGGAGTCCGGTTTAGAAAGCGGACAGAGACACATGCAGACGCAGATGCTTCGGGTTTCCCTCTTTCCCCGGCCTTTGTTTGAGGGAAGGTGACTTGCTAGGCAGATCGCTCCAAATCCTGGCTTCTCCTAAACATGTGCAGGGAAGCCTGCCCGATCTGTGACACAGAAGTCCCGCCCCAGCCTGGGCTCCCAGGCCGGTGAAACCTGGTATTGTTCAGTGAAACCTGGTATTGTTCACGGATGTGTTTTTAAGGCAAAGATTTAAAAAGCAAATCCCCGCGGATTTTGCGGAAGAGCAAGGCTTAAAGCGATTGCTGGGTTTGAGGATCTAGATTCGAGGCCCATGCAGCCTGGCAGCTCCCAAGCAGGGAGTTTTTTGGGGGGTCTTGTTTGCTTGTTTTTAATCACTGTTGAAATGCACAAGCAAGAAAGGTTAAGAAAACAGAGCCTTTCTTCTGAGGGCAACACCTGGGATTAGGGAACATAAAGGGGAGAGGCTCACAGTGAACTCCCAGCAGGAGCAGGGCCAATTCAGGCTGCTCCCTACTGTACCCCAGGAGTAAGCACCCCAAGAGTAAGGCCAGGCCCTGGCACTGAGGCCACCTGGCTCCTTGATAACACAGGGCCAGGGCCTTTCCCCCACCTCCTTCCAACCAATTCCCACCCTCGGCTCTCCAAGTATTTGAGCAACACCAGTTGAAAAGCATTAAACAGAATCTCTTATCTCCCACTTACCCACCAGTGAGATTGAAGGTAAACAAAGGAAGAGCCAGATAAAAATCCAATATCAGCCCTGGCAAATATTTACACTGTTTGAACATGGAGAAAAGGGGCAAGAGCAGGATGGCTTTTATGAGGTTGGCTTGGTCACACTCAGGGCTGCTGGAGTTTACCTACCCAGCGACCTTCTGAATGGCCAAGCTGAAAAGCTGTCCAACAATGGGCAGCTGCAGCCTAGAAATGTCCTTCCTGCAGCTCTGCAGAGAAGGGTGAGCCACATTCTTTTGCTCTTATCAGTAATCAGGATTAAACCTTTAGGGCTCAGGGTCTGGGCCCCTGGATGCAAGGGCGGAGTGAGATGCCTGGGAAGGCTTTTGGGGTGAAGGGCGTCCCCCTTTCCCAGGCTCCTAGGAAAGCTCAGGAAATTGCCTAGGAGACACACGGGGCTGGAAGTGGACTGAAACCACACAGGACTGGACAGCAGGCACAGGCGGAGGAAACAAGGGAACCTAGGATAGGAAAGGGGAAACCGAGGCAGGGGATGGTGACAGTCCTGCAGCACCTCCTGACCACACACTGTGCAGCCATAGATCGAGGGGCCCTTTCTTCGTTGCATGGAGGACATCAAGGGAGAGATCCTTCTCTGTTTATCTGCAGGGCATCAGTCCCAGCCAGCCTGGGAAGGGCTTGGTGCTTCCTGCTGAAGAAGGAGGGAAGGCATGACCTCCCAGGGCCAGTGCCCACAGTGTGCAAAGTAGACACTAGTGGCCAGGTAAAGAGCAGGCCTCACTGCAGGAGCTGCGCCCCAGGGAGGTCACACGCAGCTGCCTTTTAGCCACACCTTC